ACAGAGCTGGAGAAAAATGTAGAACAAAATTCTAACTCACAAAGACCAGACTTACTGGCCTGACAGAGACTGGAGAAACCCCAAGAGTATGGCCCCCGGACACCCTTTTAGTTCAGTAATGAAGTCACTCCCGAGGTTCATCGTTCAGCCAAAGATTAGACAGCCCCATAAAACAGAATGAGACTAATGGGGCACAACAGCCCAGAGACAAGGACTAGAAGGCAGGAGGGGACAGTAAAACTAGTAATGGGGAACCCAGAGTTGAGAACGGAGAGTGTTGACCTGTGGATTTGTTAAGCAATGTCATGAACAATACGTGTACGAAAAGAAAAAAAATACGAAAAAATTTTTTTTTAAATGTCTTTGTTTTGAATTTGCAGAAATGGTTTTGTGCCCTGGAATATTGAAACCGAAGTTCTTCCACTCATCTCTTCTGCATTGCCAAGAACTATTTTTCCAACAAGTACCATATCTTTAGAAAATTTTGGTAAAGTTTGTGAAATTTTTTTCAAGTTGTTTATTATTATCTTCTTTCAATCTCATAAAAATGAATGTTAATGACTTAGAAAATGCTGTCGAGTATAGTAAGTCCTAGATATTTCTGTAAATATTTGGACAGAGACTTGACTCTAAAATCTTTCCAACTAGAAAATCCCTTTTACTTTAAGAAATTACAGCTTTAAGAATTCAAGGAATTCCTGATTAGAAGTCTCTGTTCTGTTTAGGGCTTCAGCATCCAAACCATAGAATTTTAGAAGGTAACATCCTTTGTTAATTATTTGTGAATAAATGGCTTGGGTCTTTATCTTTTCGTGGATAACCTTGTCAGTTTTCTCTTGCCTTTTGCCTAAATAATACCAATTTATAAAACAAATGATAGTTATCAGAGCAAGCGTATTTTCCTTTTTTCCCTAAGAAATTGTCCACGTGTATCCACATCTGATGATTACTCATTTCAGTAACATTAAAAGAAGCTAATAAACACCTCATGTTACTCAGATGTTAGTAGCTATAGATTTATTCGTAATCTGGTTCACCTGTATATTTTTTTTCCAATCTGTTACAGACGTCTGTTTTACACTAAAATTAGCTGAAATCAGACTATTTTCATTTACTGAAATATGCATTTACCTTTTATTTATTTATTTAAATATTACTAGGTACTTCTTGCATGGGATATGCATTAGCACATACTCAAGGAGAAGAGAAGAAGCAAACTTCTGGCACATCAAATACCAGAGGATCAAGACGAAAACCTGCAGCAGCAACTCCTACAAGGAGATCTACACGTAACACGAGAGCTGAAACAGTCAGTCAGTCTCAGAAGTCCCCAGTATCAAATAATTCTGGGTGTGATGCCCCAGATAGCAATAATCCATCTGTAAGTGTTTCCTCTTCAGCTGAGTCAGAAAAGCAAACAAGACAGGCTCCAAAACGGAAATCTTTAAGAAGAGGGAGAAAACCACCTTTACTGAAAAAGAAGTTTCGTAGCTCTGTACCTCCCCCTGAAAAATCATCTTCCAGTGATTCAGTAGATGAAGAAACTGCAGAATCTGACTTACCACCTGTGTTAGAGAAAGAGCACCAATCAGACATAGAAAGTAGTAACACTTGTACTGTGCAGACAAATGCAGAAAACAAGTCTGCTAATGGCTTAATAAGTTGCAATGAGCATGTAGAAGCAAGGGAGGAACATACTGAGAACCATGATACAAAGGAAACAGTGAAGCCTTCATATTCTGAGTGTTATACCCATAATCCTCCTGTGCTAGTTGGAGAAAACCAAAAACCAAACCCATTGCCATCGAGTCGAGAGGAGGAAGAAGTTGAAAAGGTTGAGAATACAGGTATAGAGGATAATGTTTTGTGCATAGAAAGTGACATTTCTAAAAATATTTCTGAAAAAAGAGGTGATCTGTTGGAAAATCAAGACCAGATATCTGGATCCTTGGAATCAGAGGTAAAAACAGATACATGCACAGATCATCCTCCAGTTGATTTCCTTAAATGTTCAGGATCTGAAATTGAAGTTCACCAGCCTATATCTAGTCCTGTAGATGAGTTACCCGAGAATGCCGAGTCAGTGGTTAATGAAGAAAAGATTGTAGAGAGTTCCATAATAGAAATTATTGATCATAAAGATTCTACAGTAAAAATAGAACAGCCTTTAGAGAGTCCCAAGTTAGACTCTTCTGAGGGTCAGAATATACAAACAGTGGACAAAAAATCTATTGAGAGCTCAGAGGTTCAGTTGCCTCAGCATGTTGAAACTGGAGATGCAGAAATAATTGCAAAGTGTGATAGTTCAAGGAATGAAAATTTCAGTAGTACTCAAGACTCTGAAAATAATTTATTAAAAAATGATCTTGACAGTACGAAGTTAGACAAATGTTTAGAAGAAAAGACTGAATCTCTGGGTGAACATCTCACATCTAGAGATTTGCCTAACACATACACTGAAGACATTCAGAAGCATTTTAGTGAGGACAATAATGAGATGATACCTATGGAGTGTGATTCATTTTGTAGTGACCAGAATGAATCTGAAATTGAACCGTCTGTAAATGCTGATTCAAAGCAATTGAATGAAAATTCTGGGGAGCATAGTTCTGAAAATATTATGCTGCCTTCTGATCCTGCAGTTGAAAAGGTTGAAACTGTATCTCAGCCATCTGAAAGCCCAATAGATACAGTAGATAAAGCTAAAAAGCCTCGTACTCGAAGGTCTAGATTTCATTCCCCATCTACTACTTGGTCTCCCAACAGAGACACTGCACGAGAAAAGAAGCGGTCTCAGTCTCCATCTCCTAAAAAAGAAACGGGAAAAGACAACAGGAAGTCTCGATCACCATCTCCTAAGAAAGAATCTGCAAGGGGACGAAGGAAATCTCGTTCTCAGTCCCCTAAAAAGGATTATGCAAGAGAAAGGAGGCGATCTCAGTCTCGGTCTCCAAAAAGAGATAGTTCTAGGGAAGGCAAAAGATCCGAGTCACTCTCCCCAAGAAGAGACACGTCTCGAGAGAACAGAAGATCTCAGTCAAGAGTAAAAGATTCCTCTCCAAGAGAAAAATCCAGGTCCCGGAGCAGAGAGAGAGAGAGTGATAGAGATGGGCAGAGGAGAGATCGAGATAGAGAAAGGAGAACCAGAAGGTGGTCTAGGTCCAGATCTCGTTCTAGGTCACCATCAAGATCTAGAACAAAAAGCAAGAGTTCATCGTTTGGTAGAAATGATAGAGACAGTTACTCTCCTCGGTGGAAGGAAAGATGGACAAATGATGGTTGGAGATGTCCACGAGGAAATGATCGGTACAGGAAGAGTGATCCAGAGAAACAGAATGAAAATACAAGAAAAGAGAAAAATGACACCAATCCAGAAGCTGATGATCCAAATCCTGACAAATGCAGAAATGACTGTCCCAGTTGGGTTACAGAAAAAATAAATTCAGGGCCTGATCCAAGGACCAGAAATCCAGAAAAGTTAAAAGATACTCACTGGGAAGAAAACAGAAATGAAAATTCAGGGAATTCTTGGAATAAAAACTTTGGTTCAGGTTGGATGTCTAATCGCGGCAGAGGTAACCGTGGTAGAGGCACTTACAGAGGTGGTTTTGCCTACACAGATCAGAATGAAAATCGGTGGCAAAACCGAAAACCCCTTTCAGGGAATTCAAATAGTTCAGGGAATGAGTCCTTCAAGTTTGTGGAACAGCAACCCTATAAACGGAAAAGTGAGCAAGAATTCCCATTTGATACACCGGCAGATAGATCAGGGTGGACATCTGCATCTAGTTGGGCCGTCAGAAAGACTCTCCCAGCAGATGTGCAAAACTATTATTCACGAAGAGGGAGGAATTCCTCAGGTCCACAGTCTGGATGGATGAGACAAGAAGAGGAAACAGCTGAACAGGGTAACATATTCTCTATTTACTGATGTTGTTTTATTTGAAGAAAGAAATTATAAACTTAATGTCCTATTTGTATGAATTGAAATGATCCCTGTTTATAGTGTAAGTACTATTTGCTACTCTAACAGAGTTTGGGGTGTTCCTATGCAGGATTTAGCCTCTATGTCATTTATTTCAGATGTGTGCACTTGAGAATTTTTTTGATCATTGTTCTTATACAAATGAGTCACTCCTTATAACAAAGATTTATCGTTTCTTGATTTTTTTTTGTTAATAACATTACAAAAAACGTGAAAATAAAAGTATCTATAAACTTCTCTTTTAGTAATCTAATTAAATTTTACATGATTAGTTCCTTAGTTTCTTGAGCTACTGATTCTTTGCTAATGTTGATGGATGTTATCATGTGAAGCTGTTAAAAATAATTATAGTTGAGCATTTCCTTTTAGTTAGAAAATCAGCCCACATTATTTAGAATTGATAGGATTAAGCTAAATAATTAGAGATTGATTTTGATGTACCGAGTCTATTAATCTATGCTTAATTCTGCTATAACCGGTGGTTCTTTTCTTCTCTGTCTAAAGAGAGATTTAGCATGATCTTTTTCACAAGTTTTTTTTTCTTTTGATAGATTCTAACCTAAAAGACCAAACAAACCAACAAGGTGATGGTTCTCAGCTACCTATTAATATGATGCAGCCACAAGTGAATGTAATGCAGCAACAAATGAATGCACAGCACCAGCCTATGAATATCTTCCCATATCCAGTGGGTGTTCATGCTCCTTTGATGAACATCCAACACAATCCATTTAACGTTCACCCTCAGCTACCCCTGCATCTCCATACAGGAGTGCCTATCATGCAGGTAGCTGCTCCTACCAGTGTATCTCAGGGACTACCACCACCACCACCCCCTCCCCCACCATCCCAACAAGTCAGCTACATTGCTTCACAACCAGATGGAAAGCAATTGCAGGTATGTTTTTGGCAACTGAAGTTTAATCAGCATTGTAAAAATGTAGCTATTAGACTTCCTGGCATCCAAAACAATAGTTTATTTGATTAGGTTTATGGTAAACCTTCACAACCCCTCTTTCATTGTCCTCCTCCAATCCCTCACCCCTACCCCCCCCCCAAAAAATAAAATGAACAACTTATTGTATGCTACATACATGTTGCTATTTAATATCTATATCCAGACAGGTTTTTTTATCAGATTAAGAACACCAGATTATGAGCCGAAATAGAATCAAATGGTGGGCACATTAAAAATTTTCCTTATTTTATTGGACTTGTGGGGAGTGGGAACTAGTGGTAAAGTACTGTGATGAAGCTTGTGTTGCCTTGTTTGGACAAACACTCGATAAAGCTATTCATTATGATTGTCTCTGTTTCATTTTTATGGATTTACCATGCCAAAAAGAATAAGAAGAAAGTGTGTTAAAGGCATATAGAAAGCTTGAATATTTGCAAACATTATGTTGCTTATGTCTGTGTTTCGAAATTCTAGAATCCTGACAGCAAGATGCAGTGGGAAGAACAAGGGAATGTGATTACAGAATTTGGGATCTTACATCTTTTTCTGCTACTGACTTACTGCAAACCACTTCACTGCCTCATTTTTGGCCGTCTTTAAAAGGGGGGCACTTATTTTAGTTCATATTTATAAAGAGCCTTGCAGGACAGATTACTATAATTTCTATTCTCCTACTACTTGTTTTTAGTGTTGCTGTCAGAACTTTACAGTATGCATATGTAATTTCAAAGTCATTTTGACATACTTAAATAGGGCTCTGTTTAAGAATGTTACTCATATTTCTTCAAAAGTCCCTTTAGATATAAATGAAACAAAATATGCATTTCTCTTAAGTACTAAGATTGAATCACTTTGTATTTTTTAATGTTATTTCTAATACATGACTGTAAGACTTCTATTAACTGTAATGCATTAACTGATGATAACTCTTTAAAACAGGGTATTCCTAGTGCTTCTCATGTAAGTAATAACATGAGTACACCAGTGTTGCCTGCTCCGACAGCAGCCCCAGGAAACGTGGGAACAGTTCAGGGACCAAGTTCTGGTAATACTTCGTCATCAAGTCACAGCAAAGCCTCTAATGCTGCTGTAAAATTGGCAGAAAGCAAAGTAAGTGTTACAGTGGAAGCCAGCGCAGATAGCTCGAAGACAGACAAGGCAAGTTCAAGGTTCAGAGCAACCTACATAATTCTGTATATGATAAAAACAAAGATTAAAAAATACCAGCTGTTTTATGAATAGTGAAGGAAATTTATTGTTGATAGACTTAAATTCCCATATTATATTTGAAGGGTTTCATCTAAATATGTTGATGCCCAGTGAGCCCTTGGTAAAATTTCGTGATTATTTTTATTAATGTTTGATTTTTGTATGTTGGTAAATAACTGTTCTGTGTTTGTCACACTAATGTTTGAAGAGTTTCTGGTAATAATGTAAATGTGCAATGTTTTCAGTTTCGTATTTCTTTTTAAGTATGTGATTGGCAAATAATAATGATACATTTTTCTCTTATCAGAAATTGCAGATTCAAGAAAAAGCAGCCCAGGAGGTAAAATTGGCCATTAAACCATTTTACCAAAATAAAGATATCACCAAGGAAGAATATAAAGAGATTGTACGGAAAGCAGTAGATAAAGTAAGCTATAGCTTTAGTGGCATTAAGTACATACTGTTTTGAACCACCTCCACTCTAATAAAAGAATGCTTGAGTCTCACTAAAATAATAATAAAAGCTAGTTCCTACTAATTCTTGTCTGCTTTTTTACCTTTTGAAAAAGTTCATAGGAGGTATGACATCTAAACACATGAAAATAAGTGTGGTCATCTCTTTGAGTTTATTTTATTTTTCAGAAAGCTCTCCACTTTGCTTTTATTTCTCTAAGTATGAAAAAGTTTCACCCTCCTCTCCCCCCACCCTCTTCTTTCTTAGGTTTGTCATAGTAAGAGTGGAGAAGTAAATTCTACTAAAGTGGCAAATCTGGTTAAAGCCTATGTAGACAAATACAAATACTCACGGAAAGGGAGCCAAAAGAAAAGTCTGGAGGAACCTGTGTCTGCTGAAAAAAACATAGGCTGAAATGAGGAGTGCTGTAAAGGACGCTATCAGGATATCTGCAAAGTGCAATTTCAACATGTACTGAAAATCGTACTCAACTACTCAACTGTGATTGAAATTTGGTTTTGATAAAATTATTTTTTTTAATGTAGGATATAATGTTTTGTTCTAAATAAATATAGTTCTGTACCACAACTTCTATATCCTTTTTTTCCCCAGATAAATGCAAGGGAAAGTAAAGGTTTAAAGGAATGTGCATTTTTACTATGACTGTGTTATAGTGTGGATACTGGAAGATGTATAGCTTTTTGATTTGAAAAATGAAGTGCATAAACGAGAAACTTTCTAAGTGCACTGGTTTTGGAAGATATATATATATATAAAAACATTTATTCTGTCAGGCTAAGAAAGTATAATCTTTATGGTTTTTCCCTTTAATTATAGAAAGTTAAATAATGTATTACCATGAAAAATATTTCTAATATTAACAAAACATACCAGTTGCAGGGTTCTTAATGTGTATTTTTAAAGAAGCACACATCTGAGTAAATTGCTTAGACAGAAAACATTAATCACGTGAGTAAAATTTAGTGTTAAAAACTTTGGGGCACTCTTCACTTACTGTATCACCAAATAAAGGTCATGCTGCTTGTTTTTCTTTTGTGCCTTTTTTTCCCCCAATTGAGATGAAGCAATTTGATTTGCTAGATTACAATTTTAGCAGTCTAAAATTTTTGTTGAATTTAAAAGACTTGTTTGGAAAAAGTGTTGACTTTGTAAAAATTGTTGTTTTATAATATCTTCTACCTATCAGAGATAATAAATTGTGCCAAATGGAGAATTGCTGTTAAGTTGGAGATCCTCCCTTCCTTGGGAGTAAGGTAGAAATATGAGACTCACTGCACTGGCCTTCATGGTGTTCCTCATCTATCTCATCATGAATGAAAATTTTTTCACACTTCAAAAATCTACAAATGCTTTACAATGAATAAAGCGTTGATTTGGTGACCATATAGTTAGCAGCCATTAACCGTGTTGGAAAATTCTAGACATTAAAACCTGTGTTTTGGAAAAGGAGAGGAATTAAATAATGGAGTCTTGCTTAGGCTTTCAGGGACTAGGTATTTCGTTATTTTTTTAAGTGCTTGAATATGCTAATTTTTATAGAAGGTAAGTTAAAAAGTCTTATAGAGATATTTTAATTGACATCTTGAAGAAAAAATGGTTCTCTCTATGACGAAATGTCTTTCATTCCAGTGTAACAATATTGAATAGAAACCAAATAACTGGAGAGCTATTCCGATCAGGTGTTAATGGCTCAAATATAGATAATAAGCCTTAGTGAGATAGACTGAACCTTTACTAGAGAAACTAGTGAAAGCAATACTCTGTAGGACTGTCCTTTTCTGAAGCAAAGATTAATCTGTTTCTCAATGTCATGTGCATAATACTTCCCTGGTGCTGGGTTTAATAGGCAAAATATTTTGAAATGTTGGCCCCAATAATGATTGTTGTTGTTCATAATCTTTGTTAGGTCATGTGTATAATCCTTAAAATTATTAGAAATATTTCCAAGCAGTTTCTGATCATCATTCTACATTTCTGGGCAATTGTAATGTGGTATTCTACTGATTTATATAATTTTTTATTAAAGTTTGTGTTTAGATTATGATGGGTAAAGTTTGGAAGTACATTTCTTCTAATAAAATATTGAAACAGTGTTTTAGATATCAAACCACACCACCTCAGTTGTTTCAGTTTTGAACTCTAGAAACAATTGTGTGAACTTTGAATCTATTCTGAGTTAAGGCTTATTCACACTTTGAAAACTTTGTAGGGAATTGCTGTGCCTAAACTGATTAATCCCACAATGCATAGTTTTCCTGTTTTCTTTCAGTAACATATGGGAGTTGGGTAACATTTTAAAATTTGCTTTATACTGTTTAGCTTTTGCAAACAAGTTTAAAATTGTTAAGAAAAACTAGGTGGTGTGGTCAAGAATTAAAGTCTCATATTTTTGGTAGCAGTCCGGTGAATTATTTGCATCTTTATTGAAAATAACAAGCCTGTGTCCCATATCTGGTGGGGACATTGGTTAGACTGCATTTAAAATAGCTAGTGAAGAATGTTACTGGATTAGAATTCAAACAATAAGCTTTTTTAAACTTGGGAATATTTAAGAATGTATCTTTCAAAATGCATGTTTTATGTTAAAATACATTGCTTTAATATTCCCTGTCCTTTTTATTTTTCAAAAAAAATTCACATTAATTTTTGCATGTGTACAGACTTAAAAACATTTTGTGGGGTTACAGATTACTCTTGTTCTCTATGAAGAGTCAGTATTAACCTTTGAAACTTTGGTCCCTTTAACCTACCAGTCACATTGACTAGTGTCTTCAGCTATAGACATGCCTAGAATTTTGAGACTAAAAGTAGTTACTCATTATATTGACACCCCAAAAGTTTTGTGATTTTTCTTCCTGATAATTATCACATTTTCTCCATTGTATTCCTTTAAATGGCCCCAGTGTGTACTGCTTGAATGTTCCATCCCAGAGATGGAGCTTCAGAAGCACAGTGGTTGCCCCAGGGTCCATGAGACATTGTTTGTAGATTGAGGATGGAGTGCTGTCTACTGAACCAATACTCAGACATGTAGTGTATAATATTTTCTAATAAATTCTTTTGATAAAGTAGTGTCTCTAACATCTTATTATTAAGATTCCTGAGAAAAATGGTGGCTTTTACAAACGTGGAAGTATTTCTTGCTTTTATACCAAAGCATCATGTCCAAGCTCTAATTCTAATTGCACAATAATTGTAGGACATTAGAAAAACTTTAGAAAGTAAGTTTGTAAAGAGGAAGGAAACTGAAAAAGGGAGAAAAATTATTCTACCATTCAAAGGTAGTAACTTTGAACACTAATCAATCAAACTATTTCATAGCCTAGCTTTTTCATTTAGTGATTTATTGAGAATTTCCATCTTAATAAAAATTGATTTTTAATAGCTATATATATATCCTATTACACAGATGTGCCATTACTTAAAATAAATCTCTGCTATTGGATATTAAGTTGTTTCCACATTTTACTGATGTAGGTAAGACTGATGTAAACATCTTTATACCTGTATCTTTGTACCCATTTCAGATTTTTTTCTCAGGATTAATTCCTAGAAGTAGAACTTCCTGGTCCATCAGTTTTTATTGCCCTACAAAATTGTTTTAATATATACACATGGTTGATGTATAATTTTTCAAATTAATCATTTTAATATAAAACTCATTTTCCTAAGCTGATTTTTCTATCCAGACAAAAACCACTAGGAATGCTGGTTGTTGCATACCTTTCCACACTGATTATTTTTCCCCAGCACATTCCATAGATGCAAACATCTGCAGCCCTACCTCCTTTAATAATTGACAATATATTCCAGTGTCAACACATATGAATGTGCCCTGTCCTTCATAATGGCTACATTCGGTGCTTCTGTTCATGGACACAAGTTATGTGCAGGTATTGGCTATTAGAAACATTGCTTTAATGAACACCCTTCGTGACTAAGACTAAGACTATTTTTGTATACAGGCAGTCTCCAGGTTATGAACATCTGACTTAGGACAACTCGTACTTAAGAACGGACTACTATAAAGGCTATAACATTAAAAATTTGAGTTAAGACTGTGTAAAAATGAACGCATGCACTTGTTTGTGACACTCATGAAAACATTGCACGGTTTGGAAGTGTTCAAGTGTTTTATATGCATAGAAAGGTAAAATATATACTAAGACATTTGATGCTGAATAAGAAACATGCATCTGTTCAGACTTACCTATAAATTCGACTGTAAGACAGACTTAGGAGTGGATCTCGTTTGTAACCCATTGAATTTCATGATAGGTACATTTTAATTTTGATAACTGCCAAATGGCTCTCCAAAAGGAGTATGTTAATTTATATTCCTACCACAATACCTGAGCTTATAGTCCACCTTTAATTCATTCTTAAATATTGTGACTAAGCACATAAGATTAATTTTGTGACTCATAAGGGGGTCCCTGGGTGGTGCAAACGGTTAATGCACTTGGCTTCTAACAGAAATGTTGGAGGTTCGAGTTCACCCAGAGGCACTTGAGAAAAAAGGTCTGGTGATCTACTTCCGAAAAAATCAGCCATTGAAAACTCTATGGAGCACAGTTCTGCTCTGACACACATGGGGTTGCCATGAGTTGGAATCAACTTGAAGGCAACTGGTACTGTTGGTAAGGTTTTATGAACATACAGTTGTTCATCAAACAATGTGTACTTAACTGTGTGTCAGGCATTCATAGCTCACATATATTGTCAGGTTTAATCTGAACACAGTCGTCTAAAAGACTAGTACAGTAACAAGTAGCACATTTATTAAGCTTTAATATGTGCCAGGCACTCTGCAAAACGTATTACTGCATTTAATCTGTAAAACCAATTCTGTTATCCTTGTTCTGATGAAAAATTGAGACATATAAAGGGTTAACTGAGCTGTCCAAATTATACAGCTACTTAGTGATGGATCCAGAATTTGGACTTGGTTTGGCGGACACCAAAATCCATGCTTAACTTGGGGTGTTAAGACATTGAGCACCCAGATAAACTAACATAACAACACATGAGTAATTGCTGAACTAGAGAAGTGAATGATGTACTGAGAACACGGAAGAGAAAGCAACTCATTTTGCTTGGAGGAAGGAATGAAAAGAGTCTTAACATCCTCTGTCCAGCTAGGTCTCATTTTTTTCCTTTTTAATAGCACTTTTGTTTTTCTATCCTAGAGGTTTTAAACCTTTCATCTTGAAGCCATGTTTAATGAATTCTTCCTCATCACCATTTTCTCAGTTGCCATTTTCCCTGTATCAAGTCTTCCTTTGCAATAACTCCTTTCAGTTCTCAGCAATGTTACCATTTGACCTCTTTCTATAGTCTAAACTGTTAGAGTCTACACACCCCAGTTCATCTTAGACACCCCAATCTTTCAATAGCACAGCTTTGATCATATTCTGCATCATTTATTCAATATACAGTGCCAGCTCTGTGTGTGCTGCACACAAGAGTGAGCAAAACTACCATCCCTACCCTCATGGAGCTATGTAATATGGTGGAGAAAACAGGCTACGAGGGAGAGGACTCCAAGAGGCCCTTAGAGAATCTATGATAGGGTAATAGGACCCGAGAAGTGGTTCGGGAGGGTCCGTGAAAGAAGTGGCACTTAAGCTAGGTAAGAGCTGGAAGACAATAAGAAGCAGATGGAAAGGATGTGCTGGCAGAGAGAATAGCAGGTGCAAAACGTCCATGGCCAGAGGTGGCATGGCAACCCTGAGCACAGCGTTACTGAAATGAAGATTGGTGGAGACTTTTTAAGGCACTATACAAAGAAAAGCTTTTCAGCAGGAGGTGTTTGACATGATCAGATTCACATTTTCGAAAGATCACTCTGCTCCCAATTTAAATGGCTGAGTAAAAGTGGTTAATAAACATGAAAAAGTGTTCAACCTCACAGTCATAAACAAGTTAAACAATGCTGTAAATTATCTTTTATTAAGTAAATTGATTAAAAAATTTAATTCTGACAGGAGTGTCATGAGCAAACTTACTAACAGTGGGAATGCAAATTAGTACAATTTTACTGAAAGTTAATTTGAAAATATGTATAGAACCTTAAAAGGGTCATACTCGCCATAATGGAAAATTGGAGGAGAATGGTTAAACAATGGTTCATTCCTGTGAATGTATTTTGCAGCTATTTGAAATGTTTGCAGGGAGAAAACTCTTCTATAACATTAAATGGAGAAAAAAACAGGACAAAAACTACATGCAATCTCCTAATTTTCTTTTTAAAAAATGAAAAATGCAAACTCTTAATAGGCATTACTGCTGAGTAGCAGAGGATTTTTTTCTTAATGCTTTTCTTTGAATTTCAAGTTTTCTACAGTGAACATGCTTGTATGATCTGAAAAAAATACTTTAATTTTAAAAGTCTCAGTCATTGCTTGAGAGGGTTGGGGAGGGAGCTGGAGGCTTTGCTGTAGGCCTGAAGAGCTGGCACCCGCTACTCTAGATCTGACCAAAGATGCCCGTGTGAGCACCTGAATGTGATAGATGCCTATTGGTCTCAGCATACAGCTGCCTACGGAGGCGCATGGTCTCCTCGGGCAGCTGCTGCGTGATGGTCTACATGTGGCCAGCACCTGCAGTCTCTGTGGGCAAAGAAACCCCTTCATCCTAAGGAAGTTGACTTCCCAAACCATAAGTAGCTTGAGTCCCAACAACCCCCATTTACTGTTGAATCGATAGTAACTCATGGAGAACCCACATGTGCAGAGTAGAACTGTGCTCCATAGGGTTTTCATGGCTGTGACCTTTCAGACGCAGATCACCAGGACTTTTCTTGCAAGGCACCTCTGGGTGGGTTCAAACTGCCAATCTTTTGGTTAGTAGTCAAGCACTTAACCTTCTGTGCCACCAAGGGACTCCAGTAGCTTGAGTATATCCCTGAAATCCTCTTCTGAGCATTGTTGTTAGTTGCCAATGAGTTGATTCCAACTCATGGTGACCTCATGTGACCCCTTCTGTGCAGAATAGAACTGCTCCATAAGGTTTTCAAGGCTTTCAGAAGCAGATCACCAGGCCTGTCTCCCAAGGTGCTGCTGGGGATTTTGAGCTGCCAGTCTTTTGGCTAGTAGCCGTTTGTACCACCCAGGGACTCTAAGCACTAGAGAAGTTAATTCACTTCCTGCTGCTAAATAGGGGTCTTGGCTTTCAAGCTTGCAGAGAACTAGAACTTAGGGGCCTTGAGTAAGTTGCTTATCTTCTCTGAACCTGAGCTTGCCTGTAGAAGGGACTGCTGTCTAACCTATCTTGCAGGGTTGCTGTGAGGATTAAAATAATAGTTGCGAATGTATTGAAATGTCCTACCTATTGGGGCATTTCTGCCCAGATAATCAGAACTGGCTTTTTCATTGTCTCCTCTTGGACAGTGATGGAAATACAATTTACTTGTCCAGTAGTTTGCAACCCGTTGCTGTTGTTAGGTGCCGTTGAGTCGGTTCCGATTCATAGCGACCCTATGTACAATAGAACGAAAACACTGCCCAGTCCTGTGCCATCCTCACGATTGTTGTTATGCTTCAGCCCATTGTTGCAGCCACTGTGTCAGTCCATCTCGTTGAGGGTCCTCCTCTTTTTCAATGACTGTCTAATTTACCAAGCATGATGTCCTCCTCCAGGGAGTGGTCCCTCCTGATAACATGTCCAAAGTATGTGAGATGAAGTCTTGCCATCCTTGCTTCTAAGGAGCATTCTGGCTGTACTTCTTCCAAGACATTTGTTCATTCTTTTGGCAGTCCGTGATATATTCAATATTCTTCGCCATCACCATAATTCAAAGGCATCATTTCTTCTTCTGTCTTCCTTATTCCTTGTCCAGCTTTCACATGCATGTAAGGTGATTGAAAACACCATGGCTTGGGTGAGGCTCATCTTAGTCCTTAAAGTGACATCTTTGCTTTTTAACACTTTAAAGAGGTCTTTTGCAGCAGATTTGCCCAACGCAATACATAGTTTGATTTTTTGACTGCTGCCTCCATGGATGTTGATTTTGGACCCAAGGAAACTGAGATCCTTGACAACGTCAATCTTTTCTCCGTTTATCATGATGTTGCTTATTGGTCCGGTTGTGAAGATTTTTGTTTTCTTTATGTTAAGGTGTAATCTATACTGAAAGCTGTGGTCTTTGATCCTCATCAGTAAGTGCTTCAAGTCTTTGCTTTCAGCAAGATTGTGTCATCTGCATATCACATATTGTTAATGAGTCTTCCTCCAATCCTGATGCCGCATTCTTCTTCATATAGTTTGCAACCTAGCTGCATATTTAGGATCACATATTGACCAGGAATCTAACCAGGTCTCGTGCATGGAAGGTGAGAATTCTACCACTGAACCCCCACTGCCCAGCTTAGGGTCACGTAGAGAGCTTTAAAAATGCAATGCACAGGCCCACCCCAAAACCAATCAGATCAGTTTCTGGGGGTAGCTTATCTTAAAATTTCCCCAGATGGATTTTCATGAGCAGCCAAGGAGCAAACCACTGTGTAAACTTCTTTCTTAGGCCCCCTGCAGACCACAGCTGCTCTGTTAGAACATAATTAATTAGATCACAGCTTGTGTTAAAACCATTTGGATTCTATCCCTATTCTCAGAAGCAGCAGCACATTTGCTGTATTTTGTTTGCTTGTTTTAACCGTGTTTTCAAATTCTAGTCTGCCACCTTATCTGAGGTTTAGATCCCACAAACCACTGGCTACATGGCAAGGAAAGCACCTTTGTAGAGAGACAATCTCTCAAACGTTTCCAGGGCGTTCACACAGCTGTTCATGGTGCAATCAGAGTGTCTTCTAGAAACCCAGCTGTTGGTAAGATCAGGATATGTATGTTTAATCCAAGAGGTTTTTCACACACTTGTGTAAAGGAGTTGTAAACACTTCTAAATTATCACTGTAACGTTGCTTCTTCTAAATCAGCATTCCCAAAAAAAGGTCTTCCTTTCACACTGTAATACTGTCATAGTGGATAGCATGTTGTCCTCCTTAGCTTCAGCAAGTGCAGTCAGTCTTGACCACTGATAATAGTGGTGGCTAACACTGAGTGGCACTCAATGAGTGCTTACGACTGGCTCTGCCAAGTATTTTATGTATATGATTGCCCTTAATTTTCATAACCATGAAAGGTAGATCCTATTATTAACCTCGTTTTACAGTTGAAGAAATTAGGGTGAGGTTAAGTAGTTTACCCAAAGTCACTCAGCTTGTTAGTGGCAGAGCTAGACCTCACACACCTGTCCAGCGCCAAAGCCCATGCTCTTAACCACTGCACAGTGCTGCCTCTCGGCTCATTGCGTGGTCCGTCCAGTGTTGTGTGCCTCATGCTTGTGACTTACCCAGGTCCTGACGCTTACTCCTCCTTGCTCATCTACTTAGGCAGTTTGGACACTGGAAAGGACTCTTCCGTATTTCTGTTACCATTGCCTCTCTCCAGAGTAAAATGAAGCTCTCACATAGTCAAATACTGTTTAACTGGTTGCCCTACATAATCTCTTCTTCCAGTTCATTCTTCAGCCACGTACTAAATTAATTTAATCATTTAATTCAACCGATATTAAATACTTGCTCTGAGCAGTGTAATTCCCATGTACCATATCGCCAACAAACTTGGCAGCAGAACTCCTTCAAACAAAATCTTTTAAATAGGAATGAGACTACTTAGCAGGGGGGGATTATCCAATAGGCAAGGTAAGCATGGTGCTCACCTTGCTTAACAGATCATCTGTAGTGAACAATTTCACAGTTTTTCACCACATCAAAGATTCTGCTTCTAGGTATGGCTGGCAACTGTCTCTCTCCCAACCCCACAGCACCTTCCAATAGAATCAAAGCCTCTTTTCAAATTTATAATCCATAACGGGCAGATGACCCAGTAAGCAAGTTAAGCACGGGCTTACTTGTGCTTACTTACTAATCTGAGGCGAACAATTTCACTACAGATTTTTAAGTAAGCATAAGTAAGCCCGTGCTTACTTTGCTTATTTGGTAATCCTCCCCTGGACACCTCCTAAGCCATCCGCTTCCCCAAACCCCTCAACCCCTCTGCTTTTCACTGCCCTTTAACATATTATTCTTTCTTTTAAGCCCCAAATTACCTCTCTGGGAAGCCTTCTCTATTTACCCTTCATTTCCAAGCAGCCACTATATCCTGTTGCTTTTACCTCCGAATACCCTCTTTGCCCTTGGCAGGCCCTCACCTCTCTCAATCTGTTGCTGTTTTTGTTAGTTGCCATGGAGTCGATTCGACTCATGGCAACCCTGACTGCAGAGTAGAACTTCTTCATAGGGTTTTCAAGGCTATGACTTTTTGGAAGCAGGTTGACAGACCTGTTTTCTGAAGTGCGTCTGGGTGGGTTTGAACCACCAACTTTTCAGTGAGTAGTCGAGCACTTAACTGTTTCTGCCTCCCAGAGACTCTTTCTCTCAATGTAGGCAATATTCAGTTCTCTGCTCTTTTCCAGTCTCATCCTATGAAATTACACTGAAAGGCAAATCTGACCATATCACCAACTCTGCTTAAAACTCATTGTTCACTGTCTCCGCACAGTTATCTGCTAAATAAAACGTAAGCACTTTGCAGACCTCACAGAGTCAGGCATTAACTGATGAGCCTACCTTTCCAGTCCCATCTCTTGCCATTTATTTGCATATCCCATGAGGCATACTGAAGCACTCCAAAACCCAAACCCATTGCTAATGAGTCACTTCCAACTCATAGCAACTCTATAGGACAGAGCAGAACTGCCCCATAGAGTTTCCAAGGCTGTAATCTTTACGGAAACAGACTGCCACATCTTTCTCCCATAGAGCAACTGGTGGGTTCGAACCACTGACCTTTCAGTTAGTAACTGAGTGCTTAACCACTGCACCACCGGGGTCCTTCACTGAAGCACTAGTAGCTCCCAAAACAAACTGGGCTGGTTCTCTTTTCCATGCCCTTGATCAAGCCCTTCCCCCTGCCTGCTTT